TAAGTATCTACTACACAACCTTCTCACATTAATTTTTCTTCGAGCGTTTTGGGGGGGCCAAAAGATTGTTGGCCCCCTCTTTCAGGCTTTTTGGGCCCATGGCCCCGGTGGCCCCCTTGAATCCGCCAGTGGGGGCGGTGCCCCCACAACTTTCAAACGGAATACCGTCCTTTTTTGCGATTGTTTTCTTTTTTTGTTGTTGAAAAAGCCAAGGGATGAAAAATAAGTGGCCTAAAACCGGTGAGAAAACTAGATTTGGGGGGACCCTAGGTTGATCTCTATTATGGTGTGCTCCCCCAGTCTGAAAGTAGTTCCCGCGCCCCTGACTTTCTCTGCGCTATTGAATGACGCTGCTGATTATAGTATCTACTACGCAACCTTCTCACATTAATTTTTCTTCAAGTGTTTTGGGGGGCCAAAAGATATGTTGGCCCCCTCTTTCAGGGTTTTGGGGGGCCATGGCCCCGGTGGCCCCCCTGGATCCGCCAGTGGGGGCGGTGCCCGCACAACTTTCAGACGGAATATCGTCCTTTTTTGCAACTGTTTCTTTTTTTGTTGAAAAAGCCAAGGGATGAAAAATAAGTGGCCTAAAACCGGTGAGAAAACTAGATTTGGGGGGACCCTAGGTTGATCTCTATTATGGTGTGCTCCCCCAGTCTGAAAGTAGTTCCCGCGCCCCTGACTTTCTCTACGCTATTGAATCACGCTGCTGATTCTAGTAGGTATCTACTACGCAACCTTCTCACATTAATTTTTCTCCAAGCGTTTTGGGGGGGGCCAAAAGATATGTTGGCCCCCCCTTTCAGGCTTTTGGGGGGGGCCATGGCCCCGGTGGCCCCCCCCCCCTGGATCCGCCAGTGCATCTAATGCTCTTTCGGTAATCAGCGATACAATTCTTAAAGCTCCGGAATTAGAAGCCGACCTTAGCCGCGAACTCTGTCCGACCTACGTGTAGAGTTAGCTCGCCACGTGGCGCACGGTGTTCCCAGCCCTCGCCGGACCTACTGCAGTTGTCTACATACGCGCCGGCCGAGGGGGGCGGGGCGGGTACGACCCCATCCCTCGCCGCTTCGCCCCTGGTAGAGCTAGCGCGTCGCGTATAACGCGCCCTACTGGGAGAGGGGGGGGGGGGTGGAGGGACTATGCATATTCATAGCCCGGAGCCTCCCCCCCTCCCCTCCTAACTCCGAAAGAACTGGGCTGATCGTCAAAATTCAAACGGCGTCTGATAGCCCCGGAAAAACTGTTGAACGGAACCTAATTTCATTGACATCGAGGTCACCGTTGACGTCACAGGTCAGGTCAAAATATAAATTATCGATGTTTGGCTTGTTCACATTTTGGGCTTTGGCCGCCGTCTTACAAGTCAGGTCATGCTCACTTTTGCTTTGCACACTCGTGAACAGATGCTTTAGATACTCTGAGGGTACCAAACTTGTACTTTGATTTTCAGGTCAGGGTCAGGTCATCAAAGGTCAAGGAAATCTTATATCATGCATCGGTCACGTGACACATGCTTTATGGTCCATAGGCCACAGATTTCGAAGTCAATGTCGTTTATGTCATTCGAGGTCATTTTGAATTGAATTTAGCTTAGGTCAGGCCACTTTCAGATCATAAGAGATCAAATTTTTATGTTAACCTTCACCCCGCTTGGGGGGGGGCCAATTTGCCCCCCGCCTGTGGTTTTTCCTAAATAGCAAGAAAACGGCGGCGCAGCGCCTCCAAAATTTCAGTACCTTTCTGGGCATCAATTTGACACCTTCACACCAAGTTTCAAGTCTTACGTTACCTTAGGTCAGGAGTTATTGAGGTCAAACTGAGGTCATGTTCGAGCAAAAATGAGCAAAAAAACATGAAATCTTGAAACGCTCACAAAAGCTACAGTTACCAAGCAATTTCAAAGTTCTTTATATGGTCATGTAGACAAAAGACAGCGCTACAAAAATGCTATCTCGGATTCTCACAATTTTTGGATTTTGACCCCTAAAATTCAAAAAATTGGCAAAACTCAAAAAAATCCCTAAATTTTTCCGAATTAAAAAAAAACGAAATATATTGATAGTCCCTGCGCTCTTCTATATACATATTAAATTTTAGATCGATATCTCCTTTTTTGGCCAAGTTATAGCGAAAACACTGTTGAAAATTGCTGACGTCATATTTTTAAACTCAATTTTAGCAATTGTAGACCACGTAGCGCAAAACAAAAGCCACCATTGAACTCCCCGTGACGAGCTGCATCGAATTGATACCCATTTTATGCAAAAATATCATTTTTGAAATTTGACCTAATTTGACCTGACCTTGACCTGACCTTGACCTGACCTTGACCTGACCTTGACCTGACCTTCACCGGATAATAATCTTAACTGACCCCAAAGGCTGCCTGACCCACATAATCGTATTTGGCATATAAAATTGACCATAAAACATATATCACATGATATTTTCATATTGTGACCCTCAGTGACCTGACCTCTGTGACCTGACCTGGTATCAGTGACCTCAAATAGCAAAATATGTGTTTGACGAGCATTTCCTCATCGATGATTTTCAATGAAATGCATTTTACTCGATTTTACAATGCATTTCTTGAAATGCCTGTAAAGTGTAAAGTAAACGGTGAAAATTCGACATTTGACGTGACCTGTGACGTCATTGGTTTGACCTAGGTCAACGAAATTTGTCACAAGATAGTTCCCTGATGGGGCTATCCAACACCGTTTGCCGCTTGTCGCTATGTTGCGTGGTCCTTGAGATCTTGGGGGTGGGCAATTTGCTCCCCCCTCCCCAGCAGGGCGCGTTGGTCGGCAGACCCCAGCGGGGCGCGGGTTAACAATTTTTCAAGAAAAAAAATGTGTTTATCGGATGCAGGCTGAGGTCAGGATCACGATGGTGCTATGCATATTGGTGTACGATGTCAAATACGTACTGAAAAATTGATTCAAAAATCTATGAATGTGAAATGTTTGCTATAATGCATATAACTTGGCTATTTTTCAAGATATCTGGCTGCAACTTCATTGCTAGAGTAAATCATAAGCATGTGTTCTATCACATGCTACGAAGTTCATATTTTGACACAAGGTGTCACATTGATGCAGACGAAGGTACTGAAAGTTTGGCGTCAATATGTTTAGCGGTTTAGTAGCCCCCCCCCCCCCAGTGGGGCGCGGGTTTAATAAAGTTTGGTATCGCCAGGAGAAAAAAGGGAGCGTTGCAGTTTTCTTATTCGAAGAAGCGTCCCATCTCATAAGGATGGCTACTGGTTAGTGTTACAAGGTTAACCCGCGCGGGGCTGGGGGGTAAATTTTACCCCCCCTCGCGAATGTTTGCGATATCTCAAAAACGGCGGCGCGCAGCGCCACCAAACTTTCAGTACCTTTTCTTACATCAATTTGACACTTTCCTTGAAAATTTGAGCGAAATCTGTCGGAAAATTTTTGAGAAATGGACGTTTTAGTGACGTCATGTTCGCCATTTTCGCCTCAAAAACGGTAAAAGTTCAAACGCCGCTAACATCTTCATTTTTAAAGGAATCAAGACGTAACAAAAAAAGGTTATACGTAATTTTACTTTGTCTATCAAATGGCTATCTCGGTTTTTTGAAAATTTTGGATTTTGGCCTAAATTTTTTCAAAAAACTGACTTTTTTGGGAAAATCATTATAAAATCCAAAATTTTGAGTCTATCGAAAAAACCGGAATATATGTCAGAGAAGTGGTCTATGTGCACCTACATACCAAATTTTAGAAAAATCGGTTCAAAAATGTGGGAGTTATTCAAAATTTTATGACGTCACGACACACAAATTTTTTGAAAAATGACTTTTTTGGAAGTTCTAGACCTCGTACGGAAACAAAAATAGCACCATTCGATTCGCCGTGAAAAACTGCATCAGATAGACACCTTTTTAGGCCTTAACAACCAACTTCAAAATTTGACCTCACTTGACCTGACCTTGACCTGACCTCGACCTGAAATTCATCCAGAGGTGGTCCATATCACTTATTGAGTGTGCCTATTGAATTCTATGAGTAAAATGACCCATAAAACATGTGTCGCACATGCCCTTTTGTATATTTTGTTTTTTGGTGACCTGACCTGACCTGACCTGACCTTGACCTTGACCTCTGAATGATATTGTATGCAACGAATATTGTCTTGGTAGCCTAAAAACACGTTTTGGGCGATCAGTCTCAGTCCATGACTCCATTCTGACAACTACGGTGCAAGGCCGATACTGTAGAAACTTGCAATTTGTACCCTTGACCTGACCTTGACCTTGACCTCATACTTTAAATTAAGTACATGTTTTTAGTAGTTCGTGATGAGAGCTTTCGATTGGCGTTTGAATTTTCCAAATCGGACCATTAGTTCGGGAGATAACAGGGGGGTAAAATTTACCCCCCCAGCCCCGCGCGTTCGGCTGGAGACCCCAGCCCCGCGCGGGTTAAGCAATGCGCGCCACGTGCCAATGACCGTGACCGTAATCCGGCCAGGCCAAACACACCGTGTGATGATTTGAGCCAGAGCTTAACTCGGCCCGAGCTCGTGCACAGTGCTGGTGACGTCACTGAGTGGGGCCCGGCGCTGCGGCTGGTCCTTCCCGAAAGTCCAGCGGTGTCCTTGGCTCCGTTTGGAGTGCACATGCGGCACGGCCGGCCGGAGGGTGACACCCGCCGTGGCAGTCAGAGCAGCACACGGACCCGGGCGCGGAGGTACTGCTGGTAGAGCTGACGACAAATAGTGATAATCTCCCTCTCCTGATAGCCACTGTAGACGGGGACACAGTGCGGGCTCACCCAGGTCACTGCGCTGCGCCCTGACTGGGCGTCCTGCCGAGCACGCCAGTGCCGGTACACGTGGCGTGTGCGCACCTACGCTGAAGCGTGCAGGTGCCAGTTCTCTCACAGCTCACCAGGGCTGCTTGGAGAGAGAGTCGGTGCGACGGCGGCCTTCCCTTCCTGTTCGACACCGTTCCGTCCGCCGAGAAGATGACGGTGACCGAGAGTCCGCCGCAGGTGAGACTACGTGCCGTGCCGTGCCGTGCCGTGCCGTGCCGTGCCGTGCTCGGCCATGCCAATTGGCGGTAACTCTATGCACTGTATTAGTATACCGTTTTGTGTCTTTCTGTGCTGTTTTTGTAACCGTGCCGGACTGACCTGTCCCATCCCACCTTGCAAGGTGCTAAGTCTTTAATGTAACGTGTGTTACCTCTAATGTGCCTTACCGCACCGAATATGTATTCTTATTCCCTTTCTTGCTGTCCCATCTCGCCCTGAGTGCTCTAAGCGCCGCGCCGTGCCGTGGGAGTTGTGACCGTTTGCGCTCCGCTCGGGGACCAGCCGCAGCCGCAGTTCCGGGCGGTATTCACTCCTCTGACTCCACGATAGGCAGAACGTGACGTGAGAGTATGCGCGGTTGGATGTATAGGAAGCACCGGAGTGCAGAGTGGGACGTCATTTAAGTTCATCGTCGTCAGCTCAGCCTCGGCGAGTGCGACGCAGCGGTGGCTCTCAGGCGACCAAACTGTATGGCTTTATTTCTGCGCCGCGAGTTCAAGCATTAGGGTCAATTAGATATTTATAGAGGTTTGAAAATGCACTTAGAATTCTCTCTGCCTGACTAATGTTAGTTATTTAAATGAGTGCTAACATTCCCAGGAATAGGTAGGTAGGTATCAGATTCCAGTCTACAAAAAAAGGATCGAGGCAGGCGGATGACTTGCCATTTATAAATACGTGAAGAATCATTGACCTTTTTGTATCGTGTCATTTTGTTGGTTTGACGAAGGCTTGTAGCCGAAAGCTCACCGTATTAAATATAACTTTTGGCTTTGTTTTTACTTCTTCGAGGAAAAGATCAATGATTCTTCGCGTATTTATACTCGCTATGTTCCTCGCTAAAGCACTTCACACCATTAATTGACTTGCCATTTACCATGTAGGTATAGGATACAGGCAGGATACAGGTAGGATTCAAGATACAGGTATACCCTTTTAGGCGACAATGCGTGATATTTTGCTTAGATATAAAAATGTAGTGATGAATAGCCAACCTTTTATTCAAGGATATCTAATTTTTAAGTATACCATTGATACTCGAGGCACTCATTCATCTGTTTTTAGTAGACACAGCACAGGCGTGCCATGATATTTATATCAATCTCCGAAATGGTAACAGACACTGCGCTGGCCGCTGCTGTCTACCCATCTGCCACTCCCCTACTATCTCTCACCCAGCTCGTAGCGCGTTGTGCGCAGTGGTGGTCATTACCAAATCAATATTCCGTGCACGTAAGGAGTCACTGTAGTGTGCACGTGCACAACCCCAAGGCCGCCTGGTGCAGACCAGACTTGACCCACTAAATCTGTTGGCGGGCGTCCAGTCGTTAAGCGGGTTCCTGCCTTACCAGATAAGACGCCAAATTGGCAACATCATGGCTGCACGGTTCGGGGAATCGGTGTTACAATGCCGATAATGGTGTCCTCTGAATGTACCTATTTAGTGATTATTTTGTCATTTGAAATGCGACATATGTCATCGGATAATATAAGCGTAGTCATAAGCGAATCAGTGATGTTCAGAATGCATCACAAAACAACAGCGAGCTGCAAATTTCAACTGAGAATATCACTTGTATCGCGCATGTTCCGTCATCCAAAAGCTTTCAGCAATGCACCTTCATAGGTAGGTATAAGCAGGGTTCCGCGGCACTATTTATGTATGTCCTCTGCCTGTGTCTGCCCAGGCGGATGTCGAGGAGGGCGCTGCCGCGCTCTACGAGGGGGATGAGAACCCCGCTCGCGGAAACTGGTCCGGTCGGCTCGACTTCATGATGTCCACTCTCGGGTACGCCGTCGGTAAGTGATTGCATAGCAAGCCGCTAGGCCATCGGTAAGAAGATCAGGCTCGCCCAGCCATGGTATAAGAGGCTCAATAAGTCAAATGAGAAATAGAACGTTGTCGGTAAGAGGCCCCTCGGCTATCCGTCGTAGAAAAAGGGACTAGAGGAGGCCATTCACTCGATTGACTCTTGTGTGGAATCGGCTTTTATAAGCCGTTCTCAAGCGGCGGCAAATCATGTTGAATTATTTTAACCTTTCTTTTATATAACTCAACTATCATTATAACGTAGCTTTATCTCAATGTAGTGTATGTATTGAAAAGTATAGGTAGGCACGTGATTTAACAATAGCCTGTCAATAAACCGTTAAATCCGAAGACCGTCTATGTCGTCTCTAACGTTGTCTACCAAGCTGCTAAATTGGCGATCCTGATACAGTCGGACACTGCCGCGGCCCTGCGGCGCAGGTCTGGGAAACGTGTGGCGCTTTCCGTACCTGTGCTACCAGAACGGCGGCGGCGCCTTCCTGGTGCCCTACTTCATCATCCTGCTGCTGCTCGGCATGCCCTGCTTCCTGCTCGAGCTGGTGGTCGGCCAGTTCAGCGCCATGTCGCCCATCGTCGGCTACAGGAACTACGCGCCCGCACTCAAAGGTGAGCGCTGGTCTGCTGGCACTCGAGACCAGGTTACTGGGTAGGTGCTATAAACACTGTACGACAGTCTGTCGGATGGAAAGGTGTATAAATAAATCTAAAGACAAGGTGGTATGTTTAGCCCCGCTAGACATTGTCTTTATCAATGATGGCTCAAACTTTCGAATGCTGCGAAGCGAATGGGTGGTTTGACGGCACGAAAGACAACGTAAAGTAGGTATGCTTTGAAGGCCCCGAAAGCAGTCGTGACAACATTCGGTAAATGTCGGATACTTTGGTAGAAGTGAAAAGTCAATCACTTTTCTTCACAGTACAGCTGCCGTGACCGTTGACTTTGTAGAGATAAGCAATAAACATGTATCTATGCTTGTGTTTGTTGCAGGGATGGGCTTCGCCATGGTGGTTGCGAATGCCATCAGCACTTGCAACTTCACGATCGTGATCGCCTGGTGTTTGTACTACATGTACCTGAGCATGACGGCCGAGCTGCCCTGGCAACACTGCAACAACGACTTCAATACACCCGGTGGGTGCAGTTTAGCGATATAACACACCCGGTGGGTGCAGCTGAACGAAGCATGTGATTGAAACCACCAGTTGGATCACTGTTTTCTTTCTTTAAGTCCTAATTAAGCCCTGTACGTGCCAGTACTTAATAGCTATGCTGCCGCATTTCCGAGCTGTAAGCAAGAACATCTCGCCGTTGTCATGACCCCCTGTGTGTTCCGGCAGCGTGCTTCAACCGTGTGGAGTACGACCGGTGTCGTACTGAGAACGGCAACAGCAGCTGGTGGGTGTACGGCCACGGCCAGTGCATCACCAACCGCAGCCTGGCCGACCAGTTGCTGGTCAACGAGACCATCCGACCCGAGCAGCGCGTGTCAGGTCAGTACTTACGAGCAAGACGGTTTCGTAGCTACTAACTGATGTTCTGGAGAGCAGCGTATTTACTATTTACGTAGGTAGTCCCTTTAGTCGTAACTATGCTATCCGCTCAAGAGCCCCGAGCCCTGGCCTGTCATGGTCTACGCTGTGGTCTGTGTTTCCTTTGATGTGGTCTGTGCCTCTAGCTCCTGAGGAGTACCTGGAGCGGGAGGTGCTGAAGCTGAGCAGCGGTATCGGTCACTTGGGTGACATCCAGCTGGGCCCGGCAATAGCCGTCCTCTGCACGTGGCTGGTGGTCTGCGCCACCCTCAGCAAGGGCATCAAGTCCTCGGGCAAGGTAGGCTTGACGCTAGGCTAGTATCAGAGGTGCCCGAACTTTACTATTCCACGAAGCTTTGACGTTGCGCGTCACTGAGCCTAAGAGAGGTTAAAAAAAATGATTGAACACAGGATCGATTCGTCCAGTTGAGCTGAGCATCACAGAGCATCATTCCTTAGGGCTGGGCATGCTCATAACAGTGCATTGCTGTAATTTACCAAAGCATTGCAAATACCCAGCATCGCAAGTGTCCCTAAAACGTTCCTGCACCTTTACTCATGGAAACTCATCGTCCTTAGAGCGGTTTAGTTCATAGTGCCACCGTCTGCTGCGGAGTCCGTCAGGTCTGGTGACCGGCGCCGGCACTGTCTCTCGCCGGCAGGTGGTATACTTTACGGTGATCTTCCCGTACGTGGTGCTGGTGGTGCTGTTTGCGCGCGGCATCACCCTGCCGGGCGCCATGGACGGCGTGCGCTACTACATGTCACCCGACTTCAGCCGGCTGGGCGACGTGCGCACCTGGGAGCTGGCCGCCTCGCAGACGCTGTTCTCGCTGAGCGCCGGCAGCGGCGGCCTCATCACGCTGGCCAGCTACAACAGGTTCAACAACAACGTCTTCCGGTGCGTTCGCCAGCAGTGCTCGGACTGTTGAATGTTGAGCTGGTTATTGGCATTGGATGAGGTGGCTCCCGATACTGCATTATTTACCTGTGTGGACAGCGTTTGACATTGTATACGATGGTGACACGCGCTCCCGTGTGCCGCAGAGACACGCTGGTGGTCTGTATCGGCAACAGCATAACCTCCGTGTTCGCCGGCTTTGCCATCTTCTCGTCGCTGGGCTTCCTGGCACACGAGCTGGGGGTACCCGTCTCAGAGGTGGTCACCAGTGGATCAGGTGGGTCCAGACGCCTCACGGTAGAGCAATTTTGGTGGCATCACAGTTCACACCCCTTGGCCACCGGCTTACGAGTCACAGCTTTCCTTACAAACTGCATATAAAATGAATAAATTTGAGCTTGATTTACGAGTATTCCTCGGTTGTTTGGTGGTGTTATGATTTCAGTAGAGTGACAAAGACTGTAAATTGACTGTTTTGGCCGTCTTGCAGCTACTGCGCTGCATCGATGACGCTCCTCCTATGCCGCCGCAGGTCTGGCGTTCGTGGCCTACCCCGAGCTGGTGACCCACCTGCCCGTGTCGCCGCTCTGGGCCTGCCTCTTCTTCCTCATGTGCTTCACCCTCGGCATCGACTCGCACTTTGGCGGCGTGGAGAACGTCATCAGCAGCATCCTGGACGTGTTCCCTCGGCTGCGCGCCAGGAAAACCTGGGTGGTGGTGGCCGTCTGCGGAGTCCTCTTCTGCGGCTCGCTCGTCAACACCACACAAGTCAGCGGCTGCGGTGGGGCAGCTAATGTTTCCCCTCACTGAATCTCTTGCTGAGCTCTTATACTGCCAATAGCCGATGCTGCCCTTTATCGTGTTTTCTGGTGTCTCACCTCTCGCGATCGGCCGTCTCTCGCAGGGCGGCCGCCACGTGGTCGACCTGCTGGACTACTACATCGCCGGCCGGCCGGTGCTGCTGTTCTGCTTCCTGGAGCTGATCCTGCTCTACTACGTGTACGGCTTCGAGCGTCTGCTGGAGCACCTGGAGACGATGACGGGGTACCGGCCCGGGCCGCGGCTGGCCGCCCACATCTCCGTCCTGTACGGCACCGTGGCGCCGCTCCTGGTCGGGGTGAGTGCCCGCCGAGGTCGGCTGAGAGTTCCGAATGTGGTCGGGGAGAGTTTTGGCCGAGGTCGGTTGAGAGTTCACCGTGATCGGCGAACTGATTTCACCATGGCCCGATTGTGACTCCATGATGACACGAAATGAGCCCTTAGATGGGATAACCACCTCCGACACGATATGTAAGCCCGTCGTCAGTAGTTGATCAACTCATCCAATGTTGATGAGTTGCTAGTCTCAGGTTTGCTATCGACCTCTGCACAGAGGCATATATATCGCTGTCAGGTTATATGCTTTACCGGCAGTGCGTTCTGACTTTGCACCTGCCAGCAGCGCGGCGGCGCCTTATCCTCCCCGTTCGCTCACGGACCTCGACAGTGTTGTGAGCCTCTGTCCCTCCGGCAGGTCATCATGGTGACCAGCTGGACCAGCTTCCGTCCATACGAGTCGGGCGGCTACGTGTACCCCTTGTGGGCCAACGTGGTCGGCTGCTCGTTCCTGGCGCTCTGCATCCTCCCACTGCCCATCGGAGCCGTCTACAATGTGGCGGTCGAGCAGAAAGGCTCACTTCTGAACGTAAGAGAGTGCAGCCGTGATAAGAGGCGGGCAGTATGTGTGTTAATGTAGTAAAACTGGAGCTCTTTCGGGCTTATTTCAAAGATGGGATTCGTAAGAGATGTTTCCAGGCCGTTTGTGCAAATGGTTTGGAGATTGGAGGTGAGTTTAGCATGCTTTTGTAGCGAGAAAAGTGACATATTTTGGCCGAAGCTACAGAGATTAAGACTTTCCTTTTTGAATCAGTGGTGAGTTAAACTTTTTAACGGACCTACATTGACATAGATACGAAGCGGTGAATTCGCTGCCGACTTCGCTGCTAGCGCTTTTTTAAATACGGCTAAAGGCTTATCGTAACACCTCCGGATGAAAATTTATTTCACTCTAGTTTTTAGTTAATGAGTTCAATTCAGGTGCATGCTGCAACAGTGACGGGCTTTCATCTCGAGCAGGGGTGCCGTAGCTATGTGCCATTGACCCGTAATTGACGTATATGCCTATACTGTTGCTCGTTTCAGCGGATTCGCTCGTCGCTGACCCCGACTGAGGAGTGGTTCAGTCACTCCAAACGCATTATTAATCGGCAGCGGCAAGCTAATACCAATGGAAGGCGAGACGGCGATACTTCTACAGAGCACGAACACAAATGAACACTCGAATTCTTACATCCACGACAGTGCTACTTGTTTCACTTGTCTATTTTGCTACTTATTTAACCCTATTCCTGGCGGGCTCCGCCGGGACAAGAAACTGGCGGGGGGGGGCCGATTCGGCCCCCCCTGAGATCTCGAGAACGAAGCAAGATAGCGACAAGCGGTAAACGGCATCGGATACGCATGGACAAGGTCTACAATTTTTACTAAGGTCATTTTCAGGTCAGGTCAAAGATGACGTCACAGGGGTCGAAAAAGTCAAAATGGCGGCGCTAGATATGGAGAGAGTTTTTCTCGAATAACTTTCGAATTAGTCAAGATAGGAACAAACTAAGGGCATCATCGTGATCCTCTCGTCAATCCGCATCGAATGATATATATGTTGACCTCGAAAGGTCAAGGTCAAAGGTTGACCTCAGGTCACGTGACCTCGAGGTCATCATGTATATCATTCGATGCGTCTTGACGAGCTGAACCATAGACCCCTTTAAACATGGACTGTGCACTGGCTTGGCCTAATCGACATTTGAGGCAAAATTTTACAAGCTTCTTAAATCACTTTAAATTGGTAGAATGGCCGCGAAAAATTATCTACAGATTCGTCTGGCCTTCATCTTTTGAATGAAAGTTCTATAATCATAAACAATTAAATATTTTTGGATAAAATTGATCTTTTGTAGACTCTGTTCTCTATCGCAACTGCAGGATTAAAATATGCAACCGAACGGAAGTGTCCCTTAAGACGACAAACGTGACGCGATATGCAGCGAAATTTTGGAAAATAAAATCTTTCACATGGTTGTTATGCACATCGAAGGACATCTCTGTCCATCTTGCTGTCCATCTGTCAGTTTTTGAAGTGTATTGGTAAGTTTATTCATGTTTTAATTGTTAACACTTCGCTGATATGTAGATTTTAGTAGGCATACATTTTTAAAATGGCACGTAAATGTGCTGTTCTTAAATGTAGATCTGGTTATAAACAGAAAAAGTCTGTTTTCAAATTCCCTGTGGAGAAAACCCGTCGTCAGAAGTGGATAGAGGTACTAAAGCCCCTGAAGCCAATATCTCTGGACTACAGTGGAGTGTGTGAGCTGCATTTCTCGACGGAGAGTTTTTGCGAGGAAGCACTAACAGCCAGAAGAACTGACCGAAAAAATCTGCGTTTGAGACCAGATGCAATTCCAAGCATATATACGCTGCCCATCAAGTAAGTGCCTGACTATATATATATATATTTTTTTGTGAGAAACTACCATTTCGTCAAAATATGTAAAGTAATCGTAACGAACTTCTCCAAGTCTTCTGACAGAGTGTGTGTGGGTAAATATTTTGCGTGTGGATGGCAAAATCTTTTTCTCCTAATAAAAAGTTTGAGTGCTCATCATCGCTACACCGACTGAACGATTGCCTTGCCACTTTCAGCCATTGATACGATTAACAGTGTCTGTAAAATGTACCTTTCAAAATGTTGATATTGGTGACCTAAGGTCAGGCCAATTTTGTGACCTTTTCATTTTAACCGCGCTCTCTGGAGGCTAAACCGTTGATCTAAGGTCCAATCTAAGAACACATTAGCGAAAGAGCGTCAAAAGAGATATCTGAAATGCGGTTTTGCACGGCGCTGTAGTTCTGGTTTCCGATTTATGCGCCAGTTTGTCGAAAAATGTTGAAATAGGTCATGTTTGACCTTTGAAGACCTCTGGTGACCTGACCTTTGACCTGACCATAAAAATGACTGAAGTAGTTTCGTAATTAAGTTAAAGTAACAGGCGAACAATGAATTAAGTAAATACGCATTTCTTTTCTTTTCAGCGACGGCGGGGATGAGGCCGAGGTGTCTCAACGTCCCACGTCGCGCGCAACGCCTACAGCGAGGCGGGAACAGCAGAGGCAGATCTGGAAAAGTCAAGAAGACACCATGTTTCAGGAGGAAAGGGTGCTCTCTGCTGTTGAGATGGCCGAGAAACTGGCTTCTCACACTATGCCGTCGGGATTCATTCTCGTCAAGATGCCAGCGACTGAGCTGAAGGAGGACGTTTTGTCCATCCGAATGGAGACCCTGGACGTAGCGCGAGGCCCTCTAGTGGTGCGCAGTTTGACGATATATCAAGATCTGCGGTACCAAATGCATGTGTCTGGCCGAGAATTGTCTACCTCCGCCACTGCCCACTTGGTAAGGAACACAGAACGATTTCAAACCACGTCGGAAGTGCTGAACGTGCTGGCGTTTCTAAAGGCGCAGCCTCTAGAAGAGTGCACAATGACATCCTGCCTGGAACTGCTGCAGAAGCTGGCTGAGGACGACACAACCGACTGCAGAGTCTTCAGTGGGTTCGCTGTCGAGCAGCTCCGACTGAGGACCTGTCCCAGAACCGCCCGCAAGTACAGCCCATCACTCCTCGGAACAGCTGTCATCTGGAGCCGGACAAGTCCCCAGCTATATGAAGAACTCCGAAACTCTGGACTCTTCATCTTACCGCACCGGTCCACACTAAGGAGACTTACGTCTGCACTCAGTGTCCAGGAAGGCCTTGAAATCGGTACGATGAAGTACCTGCAGATGAGGAACGCGAAGCTGACGCCAAGAGAGAGGATAGTAAATCTCGCTATGGACGAAGTCTATTGCGCCCCAACGCTGGAGCTCGCCGGCGGAAGACTGCATGGGGAATCAAGTGATGGCTCTGGAAAAGCGACCACAACGCTTTTCTGTACCCACATTTCATCTGTCGCTGGCAGATACGAGGATCTGGTCACGATGTCACCAGTGGCGCACGTCACAACGCAGGAAATGGTGAAGATGTTCTTCAACGTAGTGAAAGGCCTCACGGAGCTCGGATTTCGTGTGGTCTCTGTCACCACCGACGGACATCGCACAAATCAAAGCTTCCACCGAGCGCTCGGAGATGGCACCCACCCCGAGTACATCGTGAACCCGTGGAGCAGTGATGGGCTGGGAAGAATCTACACGATGTTCGATACAGTCCATCTGTTCAAGAACATCTTCTTTAACTTGTTGAACAAGAAGACTCTTCTCTGCCCGCCGTTCGAAAAGACCGGAGCTGCCCTAACGGTGAAATCTTGTCACCTTGAGAAGCTTCACAGAATGGAGTTCGGCTCTCCAGTGAAGATGGCCTATCGTCTCTCCGATAAAGTCCTCAACCCGACGAGCATAGAGCGCGTGAACGTGAAGCTGGCAGACTCCGCGACCCACGAGACCACCATAGCAGGGCTCATGGTGTACAGTAAGGAGCCTGGGTGCGACGGATTCGCAGACACTGCCGAGTTCCTGAAGATAGTAAGGACTTGGTTCAACATTGTGAACGTGAAGTCGCCATACAAGCACGTGGCCAAAAGGGACGATTTACTCAAGCCCATCTGCCTGGAGAATGAAGACGGTCTGAAGTACCTGGAGAAGTTTGGCGCTCTGATGGAGGACTGGGATCGACAACCGGGAACAGCAAAAATCTCCTCTGACACTCTTCGGGGTCTCGTCCTGACATGCAGAGGCCTGGTGGGCCTGTCAAAGTACCTGCTGCAGGAGTGTGATTTAGAGTACGTCTTGCTAGGTAAGATACAGTCGGACCGCATAGAGGGTCACTTCGGCCACCTCAGAAAACTTGCCGGTGGCAACTTCTGGGCCAGCCCGCGCCAGTTTACAGAAGGCGAGGCTATCATCCGTGCCAAGAGCCTGCTGTGGCTGTCTGGGTACACTCCGGATGAAGTAGCGGTAGATATGCGGCTCGTTACTCAGCAGCGAGAGGAGAACGACCACCGTGTGGCAACAGAGCTAACACAGATCGCTGCGGAGTCTCTCCCCGCTGAGGAAGGACCAGAAGAAGGCAAGGACGCGGTGTTTCACATGGCCGGCTACTTGGCCCACGCTGTGCAGAAGAAGCACAAATGCAACCCTTGTCGTGACCTTCTCGCGGATGGCCATCGCAAAATTTCTGTGAAAATAGCAGTCAGCGGAGCTGAGGAGCAGGAGGCTGCCGCTACATTCACAGACCTGCTGAACCGGGGAAAGCTGCTCCAGCCATCTGCCACTTGTCTCAAAATCACTGAGGACATATGCTCCATCTTCAGGTCCCTGAGAGTTGAGGCTAAAACCCGCGCCATTTTGTTTGGGTGCACAAACCCCAGGAGAGTGTTTAAGGAGATCTCGCTGAACCTCTTGGAAGAAAAAGAAGGCTCCCAGCTGGAGTGCGCGGCTGGTCACAAACTCAGCAAACTCATCTTGCCCACCATGGCGGGGGCGCTGTTCAACGCTTGCGTCTCCAATCATGCCAAGGACCTGAACAGCCTAGCACACGCCGAAAAGAGGCCAAAGCAAGCACAGGGACGCGCTGGTCGAAGAAACTCGGATTCCGACAAGATCCGAAAGCTGACTGGATCGAAATGAGTGATCATTTGAACGCCTACGTTCTCCGGAACCTGATCTCAGGTTCTCAGGTGCATTCAGACTTCGGGTCAGAATTGGGTGGGAAACTACTGAGAGAAGTAAATAGGAAGGCATGCATGTGTATTTTTGCACAATACAAAATAAACTACTCGCAGCATTTTTTAATAGTTTTCGTTTGAAAGGTGGGGTGTTTAACTAAGCGTCAAGTTTCGAGGACAGCGCAACTTTATGCGGGAGTCGATCCCCGATCATTAAAGTGCAGGGGTCGCCCCCCTCGCCCTGACCTCTCCGTTGGCCATGTCCCTTAGAATAAGTTAGTTGCGTTTCTTTTAAAGCTATTGTGATTATGAATTATCTAAAGCGCAACAAAAAGCACCGAATCGAATGTAATGCTAGATTCATTGTTTACATAGGAGGCAAAATTTTGCCTCAAATGTCGATTAGGCCAAGCCAGTGCACAGTCCATGTTTAAAGGGGTCTATGGCTGAACACAATGAGACCATCCACGCGTCTGTATCTTGTTCCTGTACGGAGTTATTGGCCAAAAACCTTTGGTGACCTTTGATGACGTCACATGACCTCACAGCTGCTCAACAGCAAAACAGACCTCAAGGTAGTGAAGGTTGATCGTATATGAAGTCATGTATGGTATATGGGGCCATTCCGACCCGTTTTAGTGGTAAAAACGGAGTTGATTTTTTCCCCATTGACTTATAATGGGGAGGTCGCGAAACTGACCTGACCTTAGGTCACCGATATCAAAATTCCGAGATATACAAATTGCACATACTGGTACCCTAACTAAAGCCTGAAGAGAAGAAATTGATCGGTCAAAAACTCTAGCTCTGGCGTGATTGCAAACTTTTCTGAGGTAGGGTCACCAAACCGCCTCTGGTGACCTGACCTGAGGTCAGATCAACTCAAAATTTTCAGACATGTTGCGTAGAAGCCTTTTAGGAAAAGTCAGAAAATTTGAGCTTCCTAGCTCAACGCGTTTGGGAGAAATAACCAAAAAACCTCAGGGGGGGCTCCTGAGGCCCCCCCCCCGCCAAGAATAGGGTTAAGTGCGCTAGGATAGTTGATATTTTATTGATAACGTCCAGCAGGGATGGCAAAAGTGCTTGTTATTTTTATGTCACTCTTTCCGATGGTTATATAAGTGCGCTATGGAATGGTAGGTATAGGTTTATACCGGTGCAGTGTGCACAATGTTCACCGATGAGAGAGAACTAAGGATCATCGACAGCCACATACATATAGGTGAGATTATGTAACTGTGTATGTTTTACGAGTACAATATTTGTGGGTATTTGGTAATGGTTCGGTGCTTGTGTTATGGTGCAACGAGAACATGGGCGGGCTGTTGGTTATTGGAGACGCGGCGCAGTTCTGATACAGCCGACTCGACCGAGCACACAGCCTCCACTGGCACTGCACTTTTTAATGTAAGAGGTTTTTCCAATGTGCTTTATGTGAGTGGTGCAAGGCCGTGAGTGGTATCATAATTCATTTAGAAACAGGCTTGTAATGACTTCCAGTCGGCATAATTACACAAATATACCGAAGATAGTGTGATTGGCAAACTTAAACTATCTTCTGGCATGATATGATTTGAGAAGCAAGTGGACATATGCTCACTCTCATCTAAATATCGTAATCTGCATATAAAAATAAGCGTTTCACTTGTCATCGAGTGTTCTAACTCGGCACATCATATTGAACATCACATGAAGTTTCACACTCACCAGGCAGATGGCATCCCTTCGCATAATGCATGCCGCTGCAGTAGCCAGCCTTTGACGACACCTTGCCGCCTTCACAACGGGTCACCGCCTTAGTTAGGAGACAGCGATTCGTAGATCCATCAGTGACCACTGACCAATGAGTCAATTCTCGGCCACCACGCACAACGCACATATTGACATCACATCCCTAACCACATCCGAGCTGTCTCAGCTTCATCCGTGAGTCCGGTTCTTCGTGAATCGTCTCTGGTTTCTCACGCAGTGGCCGGGATCTCACAGACGGAGGGCCAGCGGACGGCGCACTCATTATCGGCCCAGTACCCGTCTCCGGCCAACTGTTTGTCGCCGACCCAGCCGCTTCGGACCGAGCTCAGCATCTGGGTGGGTGATAAGGGGCAGTCATCTCATGTGCCATCATTTTACTCACAATGACTGTCATCATGAACACCGTCATATATGTACGAGTAAGTATGTTGTACATACAGACAGAACGGTCGCCTTCATCAAACACAACAGCCGTCTTAGCAATATGTAGCTAAGACAGACCGTCACCACACCGCTATAACCGCAGGTTGCTTGAAATAGACAAACACTATTCGTTATATACAGCGGATGCCGAATGTTCACAAACAGGTCTCACAATCGCACACGATTGTGGCTAATTTATCTTCACAGGGCAGCGTTCACAGCACCCATCATCTCACCATGGGCACGACATCAACACTAGGCACCCACTCACGTTGAGGCAGCGCTCCCGGCTGCGGCCGTCGGGCTGCTGGTGAAAGAAGGCGCTGGCGGCCGCCCAGCGGGTGAACAGCAGCGGCCGGCCGTCCGACCAGCGCCAGCGCCGGCCGCGCAGCTGGCCGCCCAGCCAGGCCACGTCCAGAATCAGCTCTGACAGCGGATTGGTAGTCAGTAAGGATGTTAAACTATTTTCGATAGGTTTTTTATCATTTTAGACCATATGAATGCTCTGAGATTACCTACTTTCGTAGGTACCTAATATTTTACGTAAAACAAAGCAGCATTTGATCGGCAAATTGCTAACCCCGCACGGAAACTGATAAAGATTGTGTATCATATTTCTTCACGGATTACTAGTGAGCACCCACTACGGAACTGACTCGCCACTGCGGCCGTGCGGTACTCACTCCTGATGAAGTCGTTCTCGGTCTGTGACTCCACGCTGGCCAGTCTGAAGCCGCGGCGTCGACAGAGCCGCTCGGCCTCCGGCTGGGTCAAGTAGTCGTCCTGATACAGGTAACATGAGCCGCCGAACCGCACCGAGCCTGACGAGGAGAGTGGGAGGATCGGATACCGGCCACCGCGCCGGGGGCATGTGACTCGTGGGAGAACAGGCAGACAGACAGGCAGGCAGACAGGCAGACAGACAGATAGACAGACAGACACACAGACACACAGACACACAGCGGACGGACAGATAGACAGACAGACAGACAGACAGACAGACACACAGCGGACGGACAGATAGACAGACAGACAGACAGACGAGCAGACCGACAGACAGACAGACAGACAGACAGACAGACAGACACACAGACAGACACACAGACACACAGACACACAGACACACAGACACATAGACAGACAGCGGACGGACAGATAGACAATCTTATATGTAAGTACAATAACATCTGAAACTACCGAACGTAGGTAATTCCGCACCAATGGTATTAACCTGGCTATACACTTTATCACCTATCTGTTATATAAGTGAAATGGGTACAAAAATTATTGAAACTGTCGTAATTTAACTATGCATGCAGCCAAAATAAGGTGCCAATTATTCTCTTACCATAATGGTCACATCCTGTCCTGTTCTTCTTCAGTGACGCCATTTCATCTGTTTCATTTTCCGGCGTCCTGATAAACACAGGCAAGTGCAGACGTCCGCTTTGGTATAAAGGCAACGATCAAATTTCATTATAAATCACTCGTAATGTAGCAATCTAATATAATTTCATGTCTATTGGAATGCATTGGCGGCCTGGTTTACCAAATACCCGAAAAGGCAACCGTTTCCTTCAAAGCCGTTATCCCGAATGCGATCCTTGAAGTTCGATGATATGCTTGGCCTGACACACGTCACCAACGTATCCCGTGATCAGGATGAAATTCAACATACTAGTTCCGAAACAACATAATAGAAAAAATAGAAAAAAAAATAGAAAAAAACATACTCCTCATCTAATGTGAAACAAACATGTGTCATCTGGCAGAACGCTGTCACCGATCATACCTATTTTATGACATATTATATATCTGTCGCCAAACCTTGCTGACACATATATATATAGTTTGATCTGGCTGTCTGGTCACTGTCCTATGTCACCTCTCCCTGGAAAACACCTGTCAGTCCTGTCTCGACTGACCTGACGGGCAGCGCCAGCACGGAGAAGGGCATCTGGCAGACTACAGTGGAGGTGGCGGTGCTGCAGCTGGTGTCGCCAGCAGAGAACACGGCTCGTCCAGCAGCTCTGTCCAGCTGCACCGGCGGCCAAAGCGCGGGTCGGCCGACAGAATCACTGGTCACGGTCAGCCGAGACAGAAGCACTGCTTAGCCGATCAGCGTCTCTATCAGTCGGTATAGTCATCCTGGGCATTACGACTATTCTGTCGTGTTCCGACTCACCTGTGTCATGAGCAGCAGGCAGTTCTGGCGGCTGCTGTTGGTCGGCTCGTGGCTGGCCCAGACGCTGTTGTCCAGCGCCACGGGTGAGCCGTCGTGCCACAGAAGCTGACCCTCGGTCTGGCGGTCAGTGGCACCCAGAAACACAGCCGTGGGCCGCTCAGGCGGCGCCGCCAGGCCTGCCGAGGGGGAGGCGGTGTGGAGCTCAGGCGACCTGGGTGGCTCGCTGGGAAACCTGACATCAGTTCGAAGTTCATGTCTAATTTCGATAGTAAATCATCCCCTAGTGAATATGAGGTCTGTTCGCGCGTTACATATCTGTTCCGTACATACCTACCTTGCACGAATTCGACCTCCCCGAGGTCCCTGGTGATAGGCAGGTCTGCGGCCGGGTCGAGTTGGTGGCACCGCTCCCGCGCCTCGTCGTACCGAACAGGGGTGACCGTCAGAGCACGGTAGCAGCTGCGCCGGTGGCGCCGCCAGCCGGGCAGACAGCGAACTGGTGCTATGGCACTGACCGAGTGCACTGCCCAGAGGGCAGTGGAGTTGTGCAGGGGACCTGAGCCAGGGCCTGGGTGTGCAACTGCTGAACCGCTGGAAACATGGCCTACCTGAAAAGATCAAAGTTGAGTGATTTTGATCGGGTTCACCGTTCCTTCTTTTCCATCCTCCGGAAAGGCAAATCATTCTCCTCCACGTCTCAACCCCTTGCTCCGGGCTGGACGGGCCGCTTCATCCCAAGCGGGAAGCTCCCATGGAGCACGCCCGTAGCCAGGTGCAGTGAGTGTTAGCTGGGTGGCCTGTCCGATGTCCATTGGATGGGCTCAACCCGACGAATCACTAGGGTGCCCACCTAGGTCAATGTTTCTCCCAATTCCAATCATCCCTCCGGCTCTGGAATGGTCTCACTAAACTCAAAGGGGTTAAAGGAAATAGTTCACTTTTTAACATGGGTTTTGAACTGGAATAGCAGTTCCGTAGCTTGGGCTGAGACGAGCATAAATCAGGAGCTTTTACAGCCCAACGATCACCCTAGGCAAAGATATTCTATTTCTCGTCCCGAAAAAGGTGTCTTGCGTTGAGGATGTGTGCCTTGCATATATTTCCATCCAGTATGAAAAGAGCATGGGTCCCGAAAATTATTCAGAAACTAGAGAAATTATCTACGAGAAATCTAGAGAAATTCTCGTACTGATCAATTAGGACATTCAGGGGAACATTATCAGATCGAGCAGATCGCCCAAATGCCGGTGGCTGCGATAATTTCTAGTTTCTGAAGAATTTTCGGGACCCATGCTCTTTTCATACTGGATCGCGTGTGCCTTACAGAAACTGAAAAGTTCTTCCTATATCAAAATATAGAAAATAATCTTTTGTTATAAAAAGGTTTTATTTTCTTTGCTGATCATTTTGAACATAAAAAATCATAAATCCGTTGCAAAAAAAAAAATAATTTCGTGAAAGTGAACTATTTCCTTTAAAGGGAGATAATGAGCTTTCTTTTTTCTTAAATAAAATTACTCGACATCTATACTATTTCTACTGTAGTTTCTATAAAATATGAAAATTTCCTAGCACATTTTCGTATGTGAAAAAGGTTTTTATTTTTGCAAAAAAGAAGCAGTACTTGCAGTACTTGTAACACCCACCGAAATGCGTTGTCCTTCTCTATAAAAAAAAGTCGCAGTATATGGCGTTTTTGTTTCAAACAGCGACGCTTGGGTTTTTGTTTATGTTATCGCCTTGTCGTTGCTTGGTTGTAAGGATTCTAATTTGAATTAGAGTTAATTCGGTTTAGAATTAATTAGATTCTAATTCGGGGGTACATAGTGCCTACTCTTCTTTGTTTCCAACGCGTAATTTTTTTTTCCACCCAAAGGAAGGCGCTATACGGAGAATATCCCATTGCGTCATTCTAAAGTGACTTACACCTCTCACCGGCCAGCTGGCTGCGTGGTGTAGTGGTGAGCACACTCGCCTTGTGATCTATTAACTAGGGTTCGATCCCCGCCGCCGGCCGAACTTTTTGGCGCGTTGTAGGTTAGGTTGTAGGTTTGTAGGTTGTAGGTTTGTAGGTTGTAGGTCTGTAGGTTAGGTTGTAGGTTAGGTTGTAGGTTGTAGGTTTGTAGGTTGTAGGTTAGGTCAGGTGAGGTTAGGTATGTTTGTTTTTGTTTGGTTTGTTTACCAAGAAGCATCTTCGGGTATAGCGCCTTCCTTTGGTTGGAAAAAAGAAACACGCGTTTCCAACATTATTTTGCGCCACAAATGAACGGCATGCGCCAGAAACGCAGCCAAATCTTGCGATTGCGACTACGAAATTCATTATTTTGGCGTCAGAGCCTGAAGCGAAAAATACAAGCATATCTATTTCAAAAAGACTTCAGGTTTGTCGAACGGTGTTATGAGAATTTTGATAACAGTACTGCATAAGTTTTTCAGTGATGCCGCAAAAGTGTTGTATCTATCTTCTTTTATTGTGCAGTCGGCGGGACCGATTCAAAATTGAGTCGTTGCTACTAAAATAGCAGCATATGGCGTCAGATGATGAACGGGAAAAATAGTTGCGTAAATTTAGACATAAACCACCCCCAAACCATGAATATCTTTTGAAGGCACTATAGACGACCATTAACTAACTAGATGTGATGCAGATCAAATGTAAGGAATACGCTCATTTTACAAAATTACATGCAAGTACCAAAAAGTGATGTAAGTACTTATTCAACGGCCATTTTCAGCGCTCCCCGCTAACGTGACTTCAAGTTGAGATATTTGCGGCAAGGTACCGAATTGAGCAAAATGGTTTTAATTTACATTATAACTTGTTGTATTTTGTCAGAAAATGGTCCTAACTCAGATTTTGTGGGAAAAGGTCATTATCTCCCTTTAACCCATCAAAAATAAAAAATAAAGGCCCGGTATCTTCTCATATTGTCTTTCGCAGTCGCAGTCTTTCGCAGTCTATCATGATATATTACCAACCCTCGTCGGACCAATCGGTTTTCTAACATACCGTGAAGGGGAAAGTGACCGTTTCACCCCTTAAGGAGCTGGACATTCGGCTAAAAAACGAGGGTATACGCCGTTACGAAACGCAGCAGCTGCTTTCGAATTTTAAGGGCTCGACTCAGGGTCTCGGATGACGTCCAAGGTCATATTAAATGTCCCAGGGAAGAGGTAAAGTTTTTGGTGAATGACTTCACCAAAAATTGTTGCAGCGACGAGATTTTAGTACCACTCGAGTGATGCCTTTTGCTTGGTGACGGTCAGTTTGGGTTGTTGACCTTAGGTCAAGATCAGGTCAAAGCTGCCCAGGTCACGAGGGTGGTCGAAAGAGGTCATATTGCATTGTGCCCATCATTCAATTCGGCATTTTTCAGAAAGATGTTCTGAGCTACGTTTTTCCCAACACTAAGCTTAATTTCATCGTAATTATTGACGAAACACTCCGATAACCTCAAGCAGCCTTAGTGATGTCATATATCACGTCACACCGTATCCGAAATGCAAACATTTGGCTATGGGCCTTGTAAGAACTAAGAAGTGCATGAAAATTTATTTTACTTTTGAACAAATCTGGGCTACTTTTACACGTAACAGCCGATTTAACCCTCGCCCGCACATGCCATTTTCCCATCCTAGAACGCACATGGGGGGGGGGGGGTGGTTGCCACCCCCCCGCGCCATTTCGTTCCTGTTGGAGATAGAGCTTAGCAGTAAAGACCAAAAAGATTCCTTGGGAAGAGACGAATCCAATGATACCCAGTTTTACCTTCTCAGGTCAGTCATTGACCTTCCAGGTCAGGTCAAACTAAAAAATGTTGCTGTTTTGGGTCACCGTTGGATATCAAGTGCGCTGCTTATCAAATACCGATGACGATGCTGTTTTCTGGTGCCACGCCAGCTAGAACCTCTTTGTCACACTATCCGACCAGAATTTTGCTGCTGAGGTCATTTCAGGTCAAGTTAGGTCAAGGTCAATTATATGCGTTTGTATGTCTGTGTGTGTCTGTGTGTATACTGATGTGTGCACCGATTGTTTTTGGGTCCATATCACATGAAATCATGATCTGAGAAGCTTTTACCAAAAATGCAGTCAAAAAACTTCACAAAAAGTAAATTCAGCTTGCCTAAAACGCAATTATCTTAGATGACCTAGGTTGACCTTGACCCTGACCTTGACCCCTGTACATCGTCGAACAACATGTCTCATGATAGGTGGGAGGTAAGGCTGGCAAAAAAGGCCGAAATCAGGGTGTCAAAAGCTCACAAGGCCCATGGCAAACGCAAGATGTTGAGAATTGGCCATTTGGGTCATGATATGACCTAAAAAACAAGGTCATATCTCCGAAACCAAAAATCACAGAAACTTGAAATTTTCAGTGGACATCAAGAAAGGATAGACGAGCAGCTATACGAAAAATCAGCCTTCTAGCTCTAAAAATGTTGAGTGCAGAGCAGAAAGACTGCCTGGGGGGTGGCAACCACCCCCCCCCCCCCATGTGCGGGCGAGGGTTAAGTATTTTCAACTTTTTTAAACGTCATAGCATGACTGACTAGTTAATCATCCGTGGTCAATAAGAAGTGTTGATACATATTTCTAGTTTTACCACCTTTCCAAGAGAAAGAATAAAACATTTATAAAATAAAAGGATTATCTAAGACAAGATGGGCTTATGAACTACTAAACTACAATGCTTAGATATCTTTTTCGTTGTCATAAAAAATATTGGTGATCATATCTAGGTATATCTTAAGTTTGCTCATCAATATTGGTAGATAGGTACCTTTTCGCTGGTTTCGAGTTGTAAATCGATAAATATTTCAGATATTATCATTGATGTAATTTTTAATAAAACATTCGTCATTCACACTTAACATGCACGTGAAAATGATGCATAACTATGTGGCATTTGTGTAAAACACCGTTCACTTACTTGGTGTGCTGCTGATGTCAGTACCATAAACCACACTAAAACATTATAACCGGGTGATCTCTTGACGATTGCAGCCGTATCTTCATGTTTAATCATGTCCGACATTGTTGTTTTTCACAACCAAATATCTAGGTAATTTGCCTAAAGGTAATCAAAGCGCATAGGTGACGCATAGGACAGCAGCTATTCGTGGGCTTTGTGATGGTATATTGAAGAGGTTCTTACATCGTTGTTTTATGGCCTTGTCACACACCCTATAGACCCTATAGACTTGCCGCACTTGCCCTGGCACTTCCTTACAAATCCCAAGACAAATTCATTAAAATCGTGCCAAAGATCTTGAAATATCTCGTGATATTTGTGCATCAGTGTTTCATTTTCAGTATCTAATACCCATACATAATGCATTGTTTCCACTTTCAACTCCCTTCACTGAACCGTTCAGTGAACGTGCATATTAGCCCGCGCATGACTGGGGTATTTTCCATAACGCAAGTGACTGGGGGGGGGGGGGGCTCTCCAGAGCCCCCCTCCTATCTCCGAAACTACTGGGCTGATCGTGAAAATTCAAACGGCGTCTGATAGCCCTGGAAAAACTGTCGAACGAAACCTATTTTCATTGACCTCGAGGTCACCGATGACGTCGCAGGTCAGGTCAAAGTAAAATTATCGACATTTTTGCTAGTTCACAATTTAGGCTCTGACCGCTGGACCGCCGGTCCGATCAGGCTCATTTTTGGTTTACGCACTCCTTGATGGATGCCTTAGATACCCTGAGGGTACCGAACTTTTACTTCGAATTTTTAAGGTCAAGGCCAGGTCATCCTAGGTCACGAAAATTGTATATCATGTATCGGTCACGTGACGCATGTTTTATTATCCATTTTACTCGTAGATTTCGAAAATAGTGTCGTCTGTGTCATTTGAGGTCATTGTCAGCTGAATTTACCGGAGTTCAGGTCACTTTCAGGTCAGAAAAGGTCAAATTTTGAAAATGAAATTTTTTAACAAAAAAAGGTGCCTGTTAGATGCAGTTTGAGCTCAGGAACACGATGGTGCCATTTATATTGCTGTACGACGTCAAAAACGTACTGAAAAATGGATTTGAAAAAAAAAACATAAAATTGTAAAATTTTGACAATAATGCGAATAACTTGGCTATTTTTGAAGACATTAGGCTAAAACTTGCAAAGGCAGTTCATCAGTGTGTGTTCTATCACATATATTCCGGTTTTTGCGAAAAGTCAAAAGAATGTTGAAAAAATCAAAAAATATATATTTTGTACTTGTAAATACATATTTTTCAAAAATTTCAGAATTTCGAAAATTCGAGATGGCAGTTTGATAGCTACGTGTATTTGTAGTCCACTCATGCAAAGAAAATGGATCTAGCTTTAAAACTGAGCTCTTGAGAGCGTTTGCCGTAATTCAGTATTTTGCATGAAAATCGACCGACATGACGTCACTCTGACGTCATTTTCGGCCAAACTATGGTAGCTAGAAAGTTGAAATTTTGACAAAACGTGTCAAATTGATGCCTCTGAGAGTACCACAAGTTTCGTGTTGATCCGTCAAACGGTGTAGAAAATATTGCTGAAAAACGGGAGGGAGGCTCTGTAGAGCCCCCCCCCCCCCAGTCATGCGCGGGTTAGCATACGTGTTTCGGATCGATATACCTTCTGTTCGTCAAATCATAGCCCTATGACTTTTCCAATTGTAATGTAAGTGTGTCGCCGGCGGCATTTGATCCTCCTGGTTAGTCAGGCGGCGGCTGATCTGGTCTGAACTGACCGTGCCCACTGGCTGGTGGAGCGTCCCGTCCTCCCCGGGGAGCGCCGCCGGCAGTCTCCGAGCCCGGCTATCGTCGCCGCCGTGTCGCCAGTCGGAATCCCAACCGAATAGACGGCCGCCGCTCCATCTCCAACCCAAACAGTGTAACTGGCTTACGGGCCGGCGCCGCTCGGCCACACGCCGGCAGCCGCGAATGACAAACGCCCTAACCGACTTATGTGGCCGGCCGGCGGCAGGTGGCTACGGCCGGACGTAGGAGAGGGTACGCCGCTGGTCACCGTCGGACGTATTTCACAATACATACTAACATAGTGCCCGCAGTGGCAGGCATGGAAAGGGTACGAATAATACATCCGTAGGTAACTTAACTGAGCAGCACTTATGTATATCGGTTTCATCATTTCACCTGAATTGGCTGTGCTAATGGAATTGTCCTGGCTGTCACTATTTAGTAACACGACACTCGGTGCCCACAGAGAACGGTGTCCATTTCGTCCAGCCCTGCTGTCAACCGGGTCCATCTCACTTCAGCCCATATGGTTTGTGTCCAGTCTGTATCTCCTCCCGGTTGCGTGACACCTGGTCCCCCGTCACCTACCTGTCACCCCCATCACCTCTGGCTCACCCCTGTCACCCCTGCGTCACACCTGTCCTGCCCGGCCCGGCCCCGGGGCTCAAAGTGACGGCTCACTAGCGACCGGCCCACAGAGGAGACGTCTCGCTCCATTAGCGCGTCTCCGGCTGACCGGGTGGAAAGACGGAGACGCCCCGGCGCCGCGCTGGCCCTGTTGACTCTGGCCGGTTCCCCGCGGGGGAGGGCACCCGCCACCGGCCCACCCCCAGAGCGGCCCCGCGGCTGTGTCTGTGGTGGCGCGCTGTGACAGCCTGACGGCCGGCAAAACTGTCGTCTCATCCCAGCTGGGCGGCTGCTCCGGATTGGATAGGAAGGGAGGGGGCAGGGTATATGGAAGGGGAGGGGTGGCGAGTCACCACCGGCACGGCACTGTGAAACGTGCGGAGAATGGTTTTAGTCTAAACGATGCTTACCAGTGAGGCAGAGACAACATTTAGAAACATAGATATTTGGCTTTTAGATTAGACCTTGGATAGGCGCAGGTCAGCGTTGTAAATCTAATAAATTCGTTATTTTTATACTGAACGTTCTGTAGCATGCACTTTAAACATTTGTTGTAGAGTCTTACTTAGCTTGGAAGCTGATACTTTTTGTTTTATTGGGCTTACTTTGCCGTTTTGTTTTCTTTAAAATCTTGCACGCCAAATGAATGCCCGTACACAGCTCCGTATGGTATCTACATAAGGACAGGTGACTGTATCTCACATAAATCCACGACTTGAATTCACCATTAGGGCCACCGTCAGCACGGTGCCCCCCCCCCTCCCCCTGTGTGTATACATACACCGTGTCTGGGTGCACCACGCTGCCGCGCCGCGCCCAGATTGACACGGCCGACAGGACGAAATGGACCGGGCCGGCCGACCCGCTGCGAGCGCAGCGGCGTGTTGACATCAGCGGGAAACACGATATTTATACCGGCACGGGGCGCGGCCGGCCGACCTCTCTGTGGCCGCGCAAAAACCGGCCCGGCAGACACACCGCACCAGATCGTGTACCAATGATAGCGAGCTCGGAAATGAGCAAGTCACACTGTTGATCTACCTCGAAATGGGCTGCAGGTTTTGTTCAGCCACCGCGCTTTGTCGCTGGGCTGATGACGGTGCAGTAGTGTGCGGTATGAGCATTGAATTTATGCACTAGAGCTTGTTCCACTCTATCACACCTTAGTACTCGTGAAGCACGTCCTGATAAGACTCCAAATTTGTCAAAATTATAAATCCTACCTCACTTGTTGACAGGGTTGTATACCAATCAAGTCGATTGAATTGATTGATTTGTTTCAACGCGTATTTTGAGTTGATTGGATTGAGTCGATTGACTTTTCGAGATGACTGGTTGACTGACTCGTTTGACTTTAGCGACTGGTTGACTGATTTGATTCCCGAAACTTAAGTGACTCGTATGATTGAGTCGATTGAATGGAAAGTTCAAATAAGTTTTAGTTGAAGAAAAATAATGACAATAATTGATGACATCATAGATCACAAAACTACACTGAAAACTGTTTGTCATCACAACTGCAATATGGGGTAGATGGCCAAATAAAGAACAGGGCCTAAACATGAACAGCCAACTTTGACTTTCAACTGCAATAACTGCTCCAATCCTGGTGATAGAACCTGGCGATGCACCTACCTACCTTTCTGCACTCAGCAGGAAACGTTTTTTTTTTTTATTCAGATGATAAAGTGCAAGGCCCTATATACTAATAAAGTGTGATTAATTAATCATTCACATCTCCACATCTCCTCAGAAACAACCCACTGAACTCTACAAATGTCTGAAACCCCTACAAAAATAACTGAAACAAAAGCGCCGTTTTTGTCTCGCTAACTACGTTTACGTAACTAATTAATAGCTAATTTGCTGCATTGTTTAATTTGCAGCAGAACGTTTGTTGATCCTTTTCTCCTGAGAGCCTAAGCATAACATATTTAATATATTTCATTTTTCTTAAAATATTTTACCGAACATTATTAAGTGGTTTTATTTCAAATGAAATAATAATTAAAACGAAATTGGTGTTGTACAACCGATTTATTTTATGATGATCTACCATACTACATGATAATCAATGACGTCATCTTACCAAAAAATCAAAAGACGTAGAATTGATTTATAAAAGCTTAGCCCCATCCCACGTCTCAAATGCACATTGTGTGGCATAGGCGCGGGAGCCGGGGGGGGGGGGGGGCAGTGGGGGCGGCTTGCCCCCCCAACTCTGGGGCCGTGGGGGCGGTGCCCCCACAGCTTTGAGACGGAATACCACACTTTTTTTTGCAAATGTTCTCTTTTTTTGTTGAAAAAGCCGAGGGGTGAAAAATAAGTGGCCTAAAACCGGTGAGAAAACTAGATTTGGGAGTACCCTAGGTTAATCTCTATTATGGTGTGCCCCCCCCCCCCCCCCCCAGTCGGAAAGTAGTTCCCGCGCCCCTGTTGTGTGGAAAGATTTTTCAGGCTGCCCGTCAGTCTCTGTCTAACCGAAACCGTCACATGCAGGTAATATATTTATTTCTATTTCCCTATGGTTAATATGTTATTGATGCATATTATCCATTAAAATAGACATAGTGTAGGGTAAATGGCCAAATCACGAACACTGCCAAACTCCGAGCAGCCAACTTTCAACTGCAATATCTGATATTTAGTGTAAATGGAGCTGGAATATGGCCAAAATTAAATTGACAACTTTTAGGTGAAAGGTGGTGATTTGGGTTAAGGGGCGGGTCAACTACTGGGTTATTTTGCACCCATTAAATGAAACTTCTGCTCCAATTCTACCCATTGA